GCTGATCTGGATGTGTCATTATGCCGCGTGAACAGTCGAGTCTCAGAGCTGGAGATGGCAAATGAACGTCTCCAACAAGAAAATAAGTATCTGAGTGAGAAAACTGAGCGTTTGGAAAATCAGAGTCGGAAATACAACATCCGAATTCTTGGCCTGGTTAAAGAGGTTGAGAAGGGGAATCCGACGAACTACGTCACAACTCTGTTTAATGAGATGTTCCAGGGAAAGCTGCCGCGCGAGCCCGAGGTTGAAGTTGCGCACCGCGTTGGACCTGTGAATAAATATGGTCAGCGGGCCATGATCGTCAGGATGCATCGTTTGGCCGTGAGAGAAGAGATTCTGCGCATCGCGAAGAAGGAGAAAGTTCTGGAGATACATGGGATGAAGCTGCGAATTTTCCCCGACTTCACAGCCGAGACTGCCAAGTCACGGGCCAGCTTTCGGGATGTGAGAAACAGATTGTGGAGCGCAGGGGTGAAACACGGAATTATCCACCCTGCCACTTTGATCCTAACTTTCAGAGGAGAAACTAAGAGGTTTACTGACCACCTGACTGCGGAGAACTATTTAAAAACTACGATTGAACTGGAGGAGTCTAACCAAGGATGAAGAGGAAACCATCGCGCGCGTAATGCTCTGCCTTTACGCACAGGTATATGAACTCAAAATGTGAAGACTATTATTTAACGGTATTGTAGCAGCCACTTTATTTTTCTCAGCCACGTCTCTTTAGTTAAGCTATGGACAAATTGTTTTCTTTTGGAAAATTACCACAAAAGACTGTAGAATGTTAATATCGGGACTGATAAAACTGCCTTTTTTTCTTGTCACTATGAGGGCAAAATGGGTGTGCATGGTGTATGTGTGTGTGAGTGAATGTTTGTTTGTCTTGTCTTTTTGTCAACATTGTTTAAGTTTGCAGCTCTATCTTATTTTTGATGAAAAGTTTCAAAACAAATACAAATTCTTATGGTGAGGGATAACGTGTTATCAAATAAAGGTTTGAAAATTGCCCATCTGAATATCTGTAGTTTGAGAAATAAGGTTCAGGACATAAGCAGGATTTTAGAGAGTTACAATTTACATATACTAGCTTTATCTGAGACACATTTGGATGGAAACATTGATAGTTCCCTCGTTCATGTAAATGGTTATAACTTATATAGGCTTGACAGAAACATACACGGGGGCGGAGTGGGATGTTATGTGCAAGATCAAATCCCAGTGAAGATCCGATCTGATCTGGGTTGTGTTGGAGTGGAAGCACTGTGGCTGGAAGTGCAGGTACCTCACATTAGGCCTTTTCTGATTGGCTGTTGCTATAGACCTCCAAATGCTCACATAGTTTATCTAGATCAGATCTGTTATATGTTAGACAAAGTTTGTGACTTAAATAAGGAAATTTATTTTGTAGGAGATTTAAACATAGATTGGATCACAAAGGATTGTCCTTTGAAAAATAAATTAATGTCCATTTCAGACACTTGTAATTTGTCACAAGTAGTGATTAAACCAACAAGATTGGCTTATAAAACAGATGGGACAAAATCAGCCACTTGTATTGATTTAATGTTTACAAATTCAGTTGAGCTATGCTCAAAAGCTATTTCAATTTGCGTGGGTTTAGTGACTATAATTTAATTATAATAAATAGAAATACTAAAGTCCCTAAAGCAGGGCAGAAAATTATAATCAAAAGGAGTTATAAAACATTCAATGAAATACATTTTAAGGAAGAAATCATGAAAGTGAACTGGTCCCAAGTTTCATTAGAGGATGATCCGAATAGAGCTTTGGAGGTTTTCACTAGTCTAATCATGCCAATCATTAATACACATGCTCCATTGAGAAAAATGACAGTTAGAAATGTAGCATCCCCCTGGGTAGATCCTGAACTTAAAGAACTTATGAAGCAAAGAGATGAACTAAAGGAAGAAGCATCCACATCAGGCAGCAGCACAGTGTGGAACCAGTACAAGCAGCTGAGGAATTATGTGACCAAATTAAACAGATCCAAGAGAAAAGCTTATTATGGAAATAAGTTTGCTGATATAAAATCAGATGGTAAAAAAATATGGAATACATTAAATGAACTGATGAGAAGGAAAGTCAAGCCTGTACCAACATTTTTGGAAGTGGGTGGATCTTTTCTGACTAAGCCCATTGATATTTCAAATTATCTTAGTGAATATTTCATAAATAAAGTTACAGTTTTACGTAACAACATAACTCCCAAGTCAAATTCCCATTCATCTTGGACCTCAATCAAAGATGTAATAATGGGTGGTAAATTTAGGTTTGAAAAAGTGAGTACGACCGTTGTTGAAAATGTTCTAAAACTCATGAAACTCAAGCCTTCGGGCATTGATGAAATTGATGTGAAGCTGCTGAAACTGGTGCATGATGTGGTTGCTCTGCCTATTTGTCACATAATTAATTTGAGTTTAGAAAAGTGTATCTGTCCTAATGATTGGAAAATAGCAAAAATTGTGGCTCTACCTAAAAACAGCAAAGAGCCCTTTTCTGGAAAGAACAGTCGCCCAATTAGTATTTTGCCAATTATGAGCAAAATAATGGAAAAAATAGTCTATGATCAGATCAATGTATATTTTTGTAGAAATGGATTAAACTCGATGTATCAGCATGCTTATAAGAAAGGGCACTCCACAACATCAGCCTTAGCTCAAATAACTGATGATTGGATGCATGAAATGGAAAAAAGAAACATTATTGGGACAGTATTGCGAGATTTGAGTGCAGCGTTTGATTTACTTGATCATGATTTATTACTGAATAAATTAACTTGCTATGGTTTTGAAAATTCTGCTATCAAGTGGGTCAAAAGTTATTTAACTAACAGAGAGTTTATTGTATTATTTAACGGCAGTTATTCTGGAAAAAAGACACTGAGTTGTGGAGTGCCTCAAGGAAGCTGTCTTGGGCCGCTTTTATTTTCAATCTTTACAAATGAATTGCCGTGTATTTTGAAACGTGCCACCATTGCCCTTTATGCAGACGATTCAACCATTCATCTGTCTGACACTAACCTTGCTAATTTAAATGAAAACATAAAAGAAGATTTGAAATCAATTGAGGATTGGATGAATGAAAATAAATTGGTTATTAATCCTGGAAAGACCAAATGCATGGTGTTAGGATCAATGCATCACTTAAAAAATTCCCCTGGTATAAATGTGACCATAGAAGGTAAATCTATAGAACAAGTCACTGAGACCAAGCTGCTGGGTGTAACAGTAGATCATATGTTGACCTGGAATAGTCATATAAAGCAAATATTAAACAAAATGGGCAGGGGTCTGGCTGCAGTGAAGCAGAGCCGAAACTGTATACCAAACCAAATATGTAAACTATTAGTTGATTCAATTGTTTTATCACATCTAGATTACTGTTCTGTAATTTGGTCAAACACAACAGAGGCAAATTTAAACAAACTTCAAATAGCACAAAATAAAGCGGCTCGGCTCGTTCTGAACTGTTCTTTCAGAACCAGCATAAGTAAGATGCATCACCAGTTGTCCTGGCTGTATGTTAGAGGGAGGATCAAATATTCTCTTGTTAATATGATCAGAAAGATCATAAAATAACAAAAACACCAGAGATACTCTTTACTAAATTGACCTTCTTCAGTGATGTGCACCAGTATTCCACTCGACAGGCCAGGGACAGACGTTTCCTCTTACCTGCATGTCGCACCAATCATACCCAGAGGACACTGCACTACAGGGCCATGGTGGCATGGAACTCACTACCCCAGTTTCTGGTAGATGGGATGAATGCACTTGATTTTCATAAAAGATTGAGAGTTTTCCTTTTCACTGAAGAATGGTACTGATTTGTTTTTGTATTTTTGAGTTGTATTTACATTATTTGGATAATTGAATGTTTAAAATATAATGTAGACATTTTTTTTTTAAAATTTAGATTATTTTTGTTGCTGCTGTTAATGTTGCCGTGTGGATGTGTTTGTCTGTGTGTGTATAGATGGCTACTGTGTATTTTTGTTATAACGTTTCTGTATTGTTTGTGTGTGCGTGTGTGTGCGTGCGTGCTTATGTATGTGTGTATGTATGTATATGTATGTGTGTATGTATGTATGTGTATGTATGGTGTACATCTGTGGTGTGTGTATATATATGTGTATGTATATATATAATTTTGTTTTTGTACATTCATTTTTGTCCTTTGTACGTTAAATTATGTGACATGAAGTATATAGACCCCAGGAAGAATAGCTACTGTCTCTTTCAGTAGCTAATGGGGATCTGAATAAAAACAAAACAAACAAACTTTACCCACACTTCCCAGTATGAGTCTGGTGTGTGCGTGAATGGCTGGTGGTGGTCAGTGGAGGCAATGGCACTGATTGGTTTCTGTCAGTGTGCCCCAGGGCAGCTGTAGCTACAGTAGTTCATCACCACTGTGTATGGAGTGAATTAATAATTCCAAGTGAAGTATCCTTGTGTGTCCAAAAATAACTTTATTTAACCAATGCATTGATAATATTGGAGCATATTTTAGAACAGGAAGATGAGGGATGAGGCCCCACTCTTTCCATATTGCTACAGTCTGGTGGCGTCCAATGTTTCTTGGATCAGGCTAGATCATTAACATTAGTGTGGCACAGCATATACAGACAGTATTTTTGTATCGCTCAAAACAGCGGTAGCGTCACAAAATAACAGTAAAAAAACAAAACAGGTGTAAAACAAAGTAGATGTAAAGTGCATTAAAACAGTTGTTACATGATCACAGTGAATGTGTTCTGTTAAAAATGGCTATCTGAGGATGTCCATGTGAGACACAGGTGTGTAATTTGATTCTAATGTAAATGTGATGCATCTACTGCTGCTGGGGCTAATGTAAATAGGATATTTTTCATATGCTAATACGACACATGGGGTGCTGTGAATGAATTACCATATTCAATGTGTATCATGTCCCTTATAGATGACTTCATATTATTGTGAGAAAGTGCAAATATGAAGCAGTCTGAGTTGCTATTAAATCTATTTTCAACTTTAATGTCAAGGTCAAAGTTTCTACACTGCTTGATGAAAGTTGGCTGAAGTACTCAGTGAATACATTTCATATGTTAAATAATACAAAATATATCGTATTTTCACAGTTTTTTCTATTTGTAAATGTAATCACAAAAATATGATAATATTTTAATCCAGCAGTTGTTTTGAATAGGTCCTTCAGGGTGTATTCAGACAAGTGAATGTGCACTGTGTAAGCATCAATCAATATTTACTTATAGAAACCTAGGCTATCCCCAAGTGCTGTTATGTGATATTAAAAACACATTAAAAAAGTATTTACTTACTAATGAAAATCAAATTGTGTCTCTTTCCACTTGGTGTTGAAAGTGAATGGAAAAGGTGTGATTCCAGGGGTTAAGTCCTCAACGTGATTGTGCAGTTTTAATGTGCAAAGGTAATGAGTTCCACAGCAGTGGCCCTGTCACAGAAACGGCCCTGTCTCCTCTGGTCTTCAGCCTGATCCTAGAGCACTGCAACAGTTGCACACAATAATGGTACACACAATCAAAATGATTTTCAGGCAAAGCTGGACACCCTCAGTGTTTGGGACGTCTGAGACACCAACCGGACATGCAGGGCCGCGGTGTATATCAGAAATGAGGCACTTTGATACATCATACACAGATGTATTGCAGATGTAGTGCAGAAATACACAGAAACTAAAGTTGTCAAGAGGAAGCACAAAGACACCATTTGTTTTAAAATAGGCAAGACCAGTCCATCTGCACAATGTTGTATTAATTTGAAATAATTGTAGCTATATTTCCTGTAGACATTGATCCTCCATCTCCTCATCATGACTCAGCATCTCTCCCACACCCCTGCACTCACCCCTGGATCCAGCTCATACTTAAGCCACATTTATGCATGCAAACCTTCTGCTGCTCCTATTTATCATAGCGTACGTCTGCATTTATTCCCAGGCTGTGATTAACTATGCCTACAACCAGAAGCCCATAACTGTCGCACGCAATGAACTGCCCAACTCCAACCACTGCCCTGATGGAGATATTACTTATGTGGCCAATATGATAATTCTGCATTCATTTACCTCGGGCGTTTTAGCATGAGATGTATCCACACGGAATACCATTTGCAATCCAGGCCTATATTTCCAGGCACTTTGTTAACCACACTTGCTATCAGTAAATGGCACCAACCTTTTCTGCACAAGTATGAAAATAGGCTGTCATGTGAGCCGCCGCCGCGCCCGCCTCAGCTCCCGTTCTCTCCCAAGATGGTAGTTTAAAAAAACGATGTTGACTTATGTGCGGTCACAGGACTGTGTATCTCAGCTAGAACAGCATGCAGGAAATAATCCCCCATCTTTGAATTATTACGTGTCCCCAGGTCCCTAAATGGATTTTCTTAGGAGCACTGCGAACGCCGTTATGGACTCTCGGACATCAGACAATTTTGCTTTGTTGGTGTTTTTTCTATTTTATTGATTTTAATATTACCTTGGCGTCCATAATCCCACTTATGCAATTAGATTTATATTCACTCCTTCAGCAGTGCAGAACGCCTCTGATTAATGGCGTCTCTATTGACAGATCTCTATTATTTGGACAAAGTACCGGATTCCCTCTGTACAAAACCCATTAATAGGCCTCTTCGTGTCACAGAGATTACATTGATGGATGACTAGGCAGCGCCTCATAAGCAACCTGGCAACGGCTTAAATTCTTATAATATACTTTCTCTGTTATTGGCTGTAAAGTAAACAATTAGTTCATAAAGTCTGCTCTACTTTTTCGCATAGTGTCTGTGACTGTTGGAGCAAGGACGTGTTCAAAAACAGGATAATAAAGATATTTAAACACTGTAATCACAAGGGTTAATTTGTCTTGTAAATGTATTTAAGAAAGATCCTTTATTTGTCCCGCAGTAGGGAAATTTCAATGTTGCAGCGCACACTCAGTGATGAAGTAAGAGCACACAGGGAGCACACACAATATACAATATAAGTAGCTGCTATGTGTCTCTGCTAGCTTTAAATAAATGCTTGCTACAGTATATCAATCTATCGATATATCTCTATCAACATCTATAGTGCCAAGTTATATACATATAGGGCAGGATAATAAGTAGATGCAGTGACATTCTGGGGACATTATGAAGTTGCAGTATTGCACGTTGCACATGATTACAGTATTTACTATTTGCAGATGAATGAGACGTCCAGACTCAGCAGTTCTCATCGTACAGTCTGCAGTTAGCATGATAACTCAAATCTTTTAGGTGGAATTTTTACAATATTTACAGTAAGCTCAGAAATGGAAAGAGGACAAAGTGGCTGCTCTTCATGTGCAGGTGCCAATACGACGTCAATGGGAAACATTTAATTATGCCTGCAAAGTCCTTCCAACAGGCCAAAATCATACACGTACAGCATTAGTATTATTCTCACAATTTCTAGACACCTTTTTTGAGGCCGTAACTGAACTATAAATGTGTCTTGGCAAAAAAGATATAGACTGTTTTTGTTTCAGGTGGATTGGTCCAGGGATTACATGAAGTTAGCTCTAAACTGAAGACTTGTGTTACCATAGTTACCAGGAAATATCTGTTCCCACACCACCACTTTAAACTGACGAGTCTTTGGAAAGCTTTTAGTTCATTTTGTGATATGATTTTTTAAGTAGGGATCTTAGCGGTAGCCTGTGCTTGTCTAGTTCTAAAACTGACATTATCCGACTTTTTTATTTTTGTAAGGTGGAAAGGCAGGTTAATTTGTACTGTAAGGTTCAATTCAACCAAACAGAAATACGTTGATATACAAGGCTGCTTATAGTGCTTAACAAACAAATAAAATAGAAGAATCGTGACTATTAATTTTGCTCGAAACATCATGTGGTCCTACCCGAAGAAATGTGTGGAAAAAACCTTCAAGTTCACGTTCATTCCTGGAGGAAGGGCCCCTTTTTTCTCAACACAGTCACTTTTTTTTCTTCTTATAAAAGTACCTTGTTTTTACCCCTGGGTGAACTGAACAAAATCATGCAGAAAAAGTAGCAGAAACACAGAGGAATCAATAAAAAGCGAACTTCAAAGAGGACACCTTGGAGGGAGCAAGTCAAAAAGTCCAACTCTGATTTTCTATAATTCCGCTCTTTGCTCTCATGCTTTTGACGGCAACCCTTATTCTGCGTTCGGAGCGTTTGTTCTTAAAAGCAGTTTGATGTGCTGACATAATCTAAACAGCTGCTGCGATATTCCAGTGACACGGCTCTAACCGCGGCTCTGACAGACTCCCCGCTTCTACTCTATTCTCGATAAATTATTAACGGATCGCATCAATAGGCCTTCATATCTGCACCTGAGGGTTGTTGTATACAGTGTTGCTGTGAAGAATCCATCCATCCATCCATTTTCTTCCCCTTAATCCATTTCTGGGTCGGGGGGGTGACAGTCAGAGCTGCACCCAGTCCAAATAGCACCAGCCCCTCAATGATCCTCCTGCAGGTGGTGAGTCCACAGGAGCCCGCTAGCCCCTCGCTATCAAAATAGGAGTAGTTTGGTTATGTCAACAGTATGTAGTTTTGGCCTCTGTCACATCTATCCGCTTTTCAGAAGTAAATGAAAAAAAATAAGATGTAAAATAGAGGTGAAACTTCATCTTTAAACATTACTCTTTAATTCAGAATTTGGCAGGTCAGGGTAAGGTAGAAATACAACTTTAAGTCAGAAAAGAACAGATCAGAATGTCAGTCAAGCGGCAAAAAAAGACACACTCAGACAAGACAAAGTAGAAGAAAAAATATACAGTATACACAAGTGAGTTAAAAAAGTTAGCCATCTCTGTTTTTTATAGGGCATTTCAAAGACTGAGAGTCACAAAGCGCTCTTCAATTGGAGATGGGGACGCCATACAGGAAGTGCATGTTAGGCCTATATGTTTTTAGTAGTAGGAGAAACCCGGAGCACACGGAGGAAACCAGAGCACCCCTACACAGACACGGGAACTGTACCACACGCAGACAGGGAGGTGGAATCGAACCCAGGGCCTACTTTCTGTGAATCACAAGTTCCCAAAAAGGCATAAAAGTATGTTTTTAGCATCAGACAATTTTATCCCCTTAAAATATCAAGTTTCTTTCCCTAAAGACTTGATGAATAAATAAATATGCAAAAGCAGTGAGTGCAAGGGTTTTTGTTTTGCTCAGGAGACAAAAGACATGGCCAAAGTTTAAAGAAATAAAGTTTAAAATGGAGAGCTTTGCCCATTGGCTCTGCTCTCTATTCACCACCACGGATCCGTTCTTCAGCCAAGATTCTATAACCTCTCTGCCAATCCGTCTGCCAATCTTGCTCTTGAATAATGTAAATTTAAAAAAGTGCTCTTTCTACTCTTTTTTGAAGATCTAGGATATGTGACGTTGACGCATTATCAACAGAACTTCAGCCTTCAGCCGAAGACATGGAAAGAAAAGCTGTGTCGATTACTTGCCATAGAATGTCAATGTCAACTTTTTTTGTATAGCACATTTACAACAACCAGCTGCCCTATGTGCTTCTCAGGCACGAAAGATACATGATAAAAGTAAAAACTCAATTGGTGTTAAAAGACAAGGCGTAAAAATGTGTCTTTAGGCGCTGCTCTAATGAACAAAAGTAGACTATTCCACAGTTTGGGGGCAGCAACAGAAAAGGCCCGGTCTCCTCGAGTTTTGAGACGAGACCTGGGCACATTCAACAGAAGCTGGTTTTCAGACCTCACTGATCTGACAGGGGCATACAGAGACAACAGCTCCGGCAGATATGCAAAGGCCAAACCAATCAAACATTTAAAAACTAGCATCCATCCATTTTCTATCCTTTGTCCATTGCCGGGTCGGGGGGATGGCAGTCTGAGATGCCGCCCAAGTCACATAGCACCAAACCACAGCGTCAGAATCTTAAAATCAACCCTGACCCTTCAAACTTAGAAGTATCTAGCTTTCCTGATATTACCTGCTACAAAGGTATTTTACAATCAACAATAACCCTGGACACAACGTTATACCACTAATGGAAATTATAGAAGATACTAGGATTATCCAAAGTAAGCCATTTGTACTTCTGTCTCTATCATATTCAAGAGTCAAAACAAATACATAGCAGAAATTAAACATAAATGTGTCTTGTTCAACCCTTGGCCATATTACAAAGAAGAAAAAAAAAGATCTCAGTCATGGCAGAGAGAATGTATGGACCATAAATATTGAGCCTGAAATATATAGTTCCTTCCATCAGTTATTGAACGATGACTCAATGCATGTAAATTATTGTGACAGGAGGGCAGGGATTGGCCAGCGTCAGGACGACACATTGGATTCAGCATTTCACTTTTCAGGCAAAACGTATTTGATAAAAAAAAAAAAAAAACAGTCAACAATTTATTTCTACCTCAAGTCTTCGTCAGGGCTTAGATATTATCTCTGTTTTTCTTTGTTGAGGTTGAAAGCCGCTGTTTCTACCCCCCCTCACCTGTGACAAACTGATCATGTTAATGTTTAAAGTATACGATGTCTGACATGAAAGGAGCGACAACCTAACACGGGGACTTAAGCAAGATTATTGCAAACGGATAAATATAAAATCAAATGTACTTCACTTTATGGAAAATGGGTCAAAGGATAAAGCAAGCATCTTTTCATCATGTTTACGTTAAAAATATATTACCTTAATTACAAAAGAAACTATTTCTCGTAAATTGTCAAAATATCAAGATGTGTGGAAACAGTTATAGAAACAATTGTTAATTACAGACATAAACTTACTCTGTGACTCCAATGTTATGGAACAACTTATGCCTGGCTTGTTATAATTAGGATTAGTGATTACAGGTCATGCTACAGTATTCATATTGTCGGGTAGTGTTCTGGGAGTTTACAAGCCGTTGAGCCATGATTTATGAAAATTTATCCATCTCACTTTACCTGTATTCGCACGAAGTTATTTGTACAGCACAGTTAATACTATATCGGGTTTGTTAAAGCACAGTAATGCGATTTTTGGGTGTGTTAAATCATACGTCGTAAATATTGAGAATATTCCAAAGAGCCATCACTTATTTAGAAGTGTTTGTACCAGAGAGACAAGAGAGAGACCAAGAGAGGGACCAGAGATAGGGACCAGAGAGAGGGATCGAGAGACCAGAGAGAGAGAACCAGAGAGAGGGACTCAGAGAGAGAGACCAGAGAGAGACCAGAGAGAGAGAGACTTCAGAGAGAGAGACCAGGAGAAGACAAGAGAAGAGACCAGATAGAGAGAACAGAGAGAGAGACCCCGAGAGAGAGACCTAGAGGAGGAAAACCCAGAGAGAGGTCCCACAGAAGAGAGAGACCAGAGAGAGAGACCAGAGAGAGGCCAGAGAGCGGACCAGAGAGAGAGACCAGAGAGAGAGACCAGAGAGAGAGAGAAACGTCTTTTTCCAGTACATCTGATTTTAATACTTTTCTTCCTCACTTCAGCTCTACACGACCACCGACCAATCACGGCTCTGGATCCTTCCTTCTCGGGTTCGGATTCGCCGACAGTTTGAGCGTCAATGACATTTCTGCGATCAACTGGGGGGGGGGGGGGGGGGGGGGGGGGGGGTGGGGGGGTGGGGCGGGTGGGGGGGGGGGGGGGGGGGGACTTGTCTTACATGCTAAGTTCCGGGTGTGGGTCCGAGCTGCATGTTCTGTACCTGTGGACCCCGTTTCCTCTGTACCAGTGCTAAGCTCCGGGTGTGGGGTCGGAGCGCCATGTTCTTGTATCTTGGACCTCTTTTATCTGTACCTGTGCTAAACATTCTCTCTGTATGTCTTTGTTTCTGACACTTTACATAAATCACTATGAAAGCTTTGGCCCTTGATCGGGAAGGGATTGAAATTAAAGCCGTATCCCAGGTACATTCCCTGCCTCTGTTCTTCATTCCTCACACTCCACAACTGTCCTGTGTCTCATCCTAACACTCTCCGAACCCGTCCGCCAATCACCGCTCTGCTTAGTGCACCACTCTATCTTCACACAGTATAATTGTTTGTTCTGAAGAATAATTCCAAACACACATTGATTTGGGAAGTCCCTGTGATTTCTGTCCGTCAGGATCCAGAAACATCAAACATCTGAGGTTTCTGCTTAAATCCAAACTAATCATTTTATATTTGAAAACACAATCATAACACACAACGTCGGAACAGAAAAGACTATGTGACTATTGGAGCTCGTTTTAAATTATAATTATAAATGTATTTGTCGGAAGGAACATCCTGCCTCTGCCTTCCCAATAATGATCATAACCAGAGGACAGAGAGCGGGCGCGCGCTGAGGCCGGACACAGAGAGGTCCTCCTGCCTGAGGACGGGGACACAGGAGCCTGAGAGGGACCAGGAGGAGGACATCTTCGTCAACACCGTACGTCTGCAGCTCTTCCCGCGGCGTCTGTGTCAAAGAGATAGTCTGTGTTAGCTGCAGCGGCTCCGGCAGCTAGTGCTAACTCTATCCTATTCAATGTTTTTTTGTTATAACATTAAAAAGTATTTTGGAGGATTTCCCAGGTATCACCATCCAGTGCATTATTAATGAACATTTCTGTATATGCAGATAATTAGCAAAGCGCTATTTTCATTCTGTAGTCACTGTTTATATATTTGTATATTTTTGTTTTTGGATTGATGGTCATATATGAGAAGCTTGTTTTGATATCACGGCATAAAAGGCCCTGTTTTCGAACCGGGAATCGAACCCAACACAAAAGCTAACTCACTCAGCCCGCCTATCCGTTAATTTTAAACAACCTTATGAAATGTTGGCACAATAACAAAGCAAAGATGTAGAGAGCATTTATAATCAAACATTATTGACCTTTTGTCAGTCAGTTTTTAATTTGAAACAGAGAAATATTTGAATATAATATGTACTAATGTATAATAGTACATCGGCCACAGCGACAGAGGTTTATTATCTGGTCTGAAGCAGCTCGTCCAGAGTCTGTGGGGTGGGTGTTTTCTGTTGCTGATATATTTCCCCCCCGGCAGTTATTTATTTGAATCAAGACAATTGAAAACGAGTATGTCAGCATTGGAACATTCCTCTGCATCAAGAGATTCAATAAAGTTAAAGTCTTGATCTTATGAGCCTAAAAGTTGCTCTATTGGGTCATGATGAGCTCGTTTCCAACTGATTCTTGGTACTTTGTGGGCAGTTTGTTATCTGCTCGTTCAGTCTTTATCTGCTGCGCTCCACGGCACAGGAAATACATTTCTGACTGCGGTGAATTAGAGTCTCGTGCTTTTTGTGCTTTTGCGCTGGATCCTCTGAGCCTCCAACCCAGTCCACCTCTGTCTTGAGCTCTGGACCTGTTCAGTGAAGCAACCCCTCGCCCATCCACACTATCGGGGTCACTCTGACGACGAGGGCGACCTGTTTCCGTTAGAAAAAATCCATAAATACAGCCCTAAAGAACTCTGAGCTTATTCCCTTTAAACAAGAAGCTTTTCACCATATCTAACTTTGTTCTGTGGAAACCTTATCTGTCACACACAGTGATGACCGAACATTGATCAGGCTCTGCTCAGGTGTGAGGTTATTTTACAGAACACATGCTGGGTCGGAAAGGCGTTTTCCAGAAGTTTTTAATTAAAAACTCTCAGTACAAAAAACTTGGAAAATTAAAATAAACGTATTACAGAACACAGTGTAAAGTCTTCGCGAAAAGGATATTTACAATAAAAATAACACACGACTCTTGCAATAAGTCTCTTTCCACTTACTTTCCCACTTCAAGCTCCTGCAGTCCACCTCCCCCCATTACCTTCACTGTAAAGGGGCGTTCACAACCGGACTTTACTCTTCGGCGTCAAAAGCACAGGTTTGCATGGAAAGTGAATGGTGAAGCGCGTCCGTGAAGCCGAGGGGCCGGCGTCACTTGGCGCGCTTCAAAAGCATCAAAGGTCGCGCGTAATACGCGCTCACTTGAAGCTTTGACGCTCGTAAACGCTCGCGTATCAAAACTATCCCTTTGACGCCGAAGCTGAGCAAACTCGGCTGAGCTTTTGAAGCTTTGACGCGGGCCTTCACCAATCAGGAGTCGAGGAGCGCTGCTGCAGGAGGGTCCTGTCCTCTGTCCTGAAGAGAAGTTCAAGTATCTGACAAACAAACTTTACCCACACTTCCCAGTATGAGTCTGGTGTGTGCGTGAATGGCTGGTGGTGGTCAGTGGAGGCAATGGCACTGATTGGTTTCTGTCAGTGTGCCCCAGGGCAGCTGTAGCTACAGTAGTTCATCACCACTGTGTATGGAGTTTTTTTTGAGAATTAATAATTCCAAGTGAAGTATCCTTGTGTGTCCAAAAATAACTTTATTTAACCAATGCATTGATAATATTGGAGCATATTTTAGAACAGGAAGATGAGGGATGAGGCCCCACTCTTTCCATATTGCTACAGTCTGGTGGCGTCCAATGTTTCTTGGATCAGGCTAGATCATTAACATTAGTGTGGCACAGCATATACAGACAGTATTTTTGTATCGCTCAAAACAGCGGTAGCGTCACAAAATAACAGTAAAAAAACAAAACAGGTGTAAAACAAAGTAGATGTAAAGTGCATTAAAACAGTTGTTACATGATCACAGTGAATGTGTTCTGTTAAAAATGGCTATCTGAGGATGTCCATGTGAGACACAGGTGTGTAATTTGATTCTAATGTAAATGTGATGCATCTACTGCTGCTGGGGCTAATGTAAATAGGATATTTTTCATATGCTAATACGACACATGGGGTGCTGTGAATGAATTACCATATTCAATGTGTATCATGTCCCTTATAGATGACTTCATATTATTGTGAGAAAGTGCAAATATGAAGCAGTCTGAGTTGCTATTAAATCTATTTTCAACTTTAATGTCAAGGTCAAAGTTTCTACACTGCTTGATGAAAGTTGGCTGAAGTACTCAGTGAATACATTTCATATGTTAAATAATACAAAATATATCGTATTTTCACAGTTTTTTCTATTTGTAAATGTAATCACAAAAATATGATAATATTTTAATCCAGCAGTTGTTTTGAATAGGTCCTTCAGGGTGTATTCAGACAAGTGAATGTGCACTGTGTAAGCATCAATCAATATTTACTTATAGAAACCTAGGCTATCCCCAAGTGCTGTTATGTGATATTAAAAACACATTAAAAAAGTATTTACTTACTAATGAAAATCAAATTGTGTCTCTTTCCACTTGGTGTTGAAAGTGAATGGAAAAGGTGTGATTCCAGGGGTTAAGTCCTCAACGTGATTGTGCAGTTTTAATGTGCAAAGGTAATGAGTTCCACAGCAGTGGCCCTGTCACAGAAACGGCCCTGTCTCCTCTGGTCTTCAGCCTGATCCTAGAGCACTGCAACAGTTGCACACAATAATGGTACACACAATCAAAATGATTTTCAGGCAAAGCTGGACACCCTCAGTGTTTGGGACGTCTGAGACACCAACCGGACATGCAGGGCCGCGGTGTATATCAGAAATGAGGCACTTTGATACATCATACACAGATGTATTGCAGATGTAGTGCAGAAATACACAGAAACTAAAGTTGTCAAGAGGAAGCACAAAGACACCATTTGTTTTAAAATAGGCAAGACCAGTCCATCTGCACAATGTTGTATTAATTTGAAATAATTGTAGCTATATTTCCTGTAGACATTGATCCTCCATCTCCTCATCATGACTCAGCATCTCTCCCACACCCCTGCACTCACCCCTGGATCCAGCTCATACTTAAGCCACATTTATGCATGCAAACCTTCTGCTGCTCCTATTTATCATAGCGTACGTCTGCATTTATTCCCAGGCTGTGATTAACTATGCCTACAACCAGAAGCCCATAACTGTCGCACGCAATGAACTGCCCAACTCCAACCACTGCCCTGATGGAGATATTACTTATGTGGCCAATATGATAATTCTGCATTCATTTACCTCGGGCGTTTTAGCATGAGATGTATCCACACGGAATACCATTTGCAATCCAGGCCTATATTTCCAGGCACTTTGTTAACCACACTTGCTATCAGTAAATGGCACCAACCTTTTCTGCACAAGTATGAAAATAGGCTGTCATGTGAGCCGCCGCCGCGCCCGCCTCAGCTCCCGTTCTCTCCCAAGATGGTAGTTTAAAAAAACGATGTTGACCTATGTGCGGTCACAGGACTGTGTATCTCAGCTAGAACAGCATGCAGGAAATAATCCCCCATCTTTGAATTATTACGTGTCCCCAGGTCCCTAAATGGATTTTCTTAGGAGCACTGCGAACGCCGTTATGGACTCTCGGACATCAGACAATTTTGCTTTGTTGGTGTTTTTTCTATTTTATTGATTTTAATATTACCTTGGCGTCCATAATCCCACTTATGCAATTAGATTTATATTCACTCCTTCAGCAGTGCAGAACGCCTCTGATTAATGGCGTCTCTATTGACAGATCTCTATTATTTGGACAAAGTACCGGATTCCCTCTGTACAAAACCCATTAATAGGCCTCTTCGTGTCACAGAGATTACATTGATGGATGACTAGGCAGCGCCTCATAAGCAACCTGGCAACGGCTTAAATTCTTATAATATACTTTCTCTGTTATTGGCTGTAAAGTAAACAATTAGTTCATAAAGTCTGCTCTACTTTTTCGCATAGTGTCTGTGACTGTTGGAGCAAGGACGTGTTCAAAAACAGGATAATAAAGATATTTAAACACTGTAATCACAAGGGTTAATTTGTCTTGTAAATGTATTTAAGAAAGATCCTTTATTTGTCCCGCAGTAGGGAAATTTCAATGTTGCAGCGCACACTCAGTGATGAAGTAAGAGCACACAGGGAGCACACACAATATACAATATAAGTAGCTGCTATGTGTCTCTGCTAGCTTTAAATAAATGCTTGCTACAGTATATCAATCTATCGATATATCTCTATCAACATCTATAGTGCCAAGTTATATACATATAGGGCAGGATAATAAGTAGATGCAGTGACATTCTGGGGACATTATGAAGTTGCAGTATTGCACGTTGCACATGTTTACAGTATTTACTATTTGCAGATGAATGAGACGTCCAGACTCAGCAGTTCTCATCGTACAGTCTGCAGTTAGCATGATAACTCAAATCTTTTAGGTGGAATTTTTACAATATTTACAGTAAGCTCAGAAATGGAAAGAGGACAAAGTGGCTGCTCTTCATGTGCAGGTGCCAATACGACGTCAATGGGAAACATTTAATTATGCCTGCAAAGTCCTTCCAACAGGCCAAAATCATACACGTACAGCATTAGTATTATTCTCACAATTTCTAGACACCTTTTTTGAGGCCGTAACTGAACTATAAATGTGTCTTGGCAAAAAAGATATAGACTGTTTTTGTTTCAGGTGGATTGGTCCAGGGATTACATGAAGTTAGCTCTAAACTGAAGACTTGTGTTACCATAGTTACCAGGAAATATCTGTTCCCACACCACCACTTTAAACTGACGAGTCTTTGGAAAGCTTTTAGTTCATTTTGTGATATGATTTTTTAAGTAGGGATCTTAGCGGTAGCCTGTGCTTGTCTAGTTCTAAAACTGACATTATCCGACTTTTTTATTTTTGTAAGGTGGAAAGGCAGGTTAATTTGTACTGTAAGGTTCAATTCAACCAAACAGAAATACGTTGATATACAAGGCTGCTTATAGTGCTTAACAAACAAATAAAATAGAAGAATCGTGACTATTAATTTTGCTCGAAACATCATGTGGTCCTACCCGAAGAAATGTGTGGAAAAAACCTTCAAGTTCACGTTCATTCCTGGAGGAAGGGCCCCTTTTTTCTCAACACAGTCACTTTTTTTTCTTCTTATAAAAGTACCTTGTTTTTACCCCTGGGTGAACTGAACAAAATCATGCAGAAAAAGTAGCAGAAACACAGAGGAATCAATAAAAAGCGAACTTCAAAGAGGACACCTTGGAGGGAGCAAGTCAAAAAGTCCAACTCTGATTTTCTATAATTCCGCTCTTTGCTCTCATGCTTTTGACGGCAACCCTTATTCTGCGTTCGGAGCGTTTGTTCTTAAAAGCAGTTTGATGTGCTGACATAATCTAAACAGCTGCTGCGATATTCCAGTGACACGGCTCTAACCGCGGCTCTGACAGACTCCCCGCTTCTACTCTATTCTCGATAAATTATTAACGGATCGCATCAATAGGCCTTCATATCTGCACCTGAGGGTTGTTGTATACAGTGTTGCTGTGAAGAATCCATCCATCCATCCATTTTCTTCCCCTTAATCCATTTCTGGGTCGGGGGGGTGACAGTCAGAGCTGCACCCAGTCCAAATAGCACCAGCCCCTCAATGATCCTCCTGCAGGTGGTGAGTCCACAGGAGCCCGCTAGCCCCTCGCTATCAAAATAGGAGTAGTTTGGTTATGTCAACAGTATGTAGTTTTGG